CACGGCGGCGCCCCGCTCCCCGACTGTGCCGCCGAGCCTGCCCTGCGCCCCTAATGGAGGCGCATTGCGATGGTGGGATCAAACGCTCTGGGCTGCGTCCTGATCTTGGCTGTGCTAGCATCAAGCCAGTGTTGCCCTCTGGTTTTATCTGGATTTTACCTCAGATATGTGTTGAAGTAGCAAACTGGAATCGGACCCTGTGCTTTTGTTTGAGTTCATTCTTCACCGCATTAAAGTTGCCTTGCTCTTCCTTGAGCCGTGAATGCTGCAAACGCTGTGCTCTATATGCACGACGATCTGTAAAGTCAGGTTATTTAAAATACCGAGTAAATACTGCAGCCTCTGCCTCCCATCGCGTGTAGCTGCTCCGCTCGGGAAGAGGAGCAAGCAGCTGAGCAGCACTGCAACCCCGAGACCTGACACTGCCCCCAAAAAATAATGACAGTTATTTGTAGGGATTCTGATGATTTGTTTAAAAACATTTTCAGTATGTAACTAAGGTGTAAGATAATGTCTCTTCAATTATCTTATGATTCTGGTGACCTCGGCGTTCCCTGCCCTGCTGTTTGCTCAACCTGGATTTGCTGCGATTTGATTCTTCTTTTTTTTTGGCTTCATTAATGAGCACACTGGTACTTTAATATCTTGATCAAAGTCAAACGACAAAACAGTCAAAATTTGCACCAGTTTATTAAATCTTGTACTATTTTATCTTGTACTAAGAAAATAACAGTGAAAGAAAAATAAAGCTGCAGAGCCTGAGCCGTTAGGATGAGGCACTTCCATCATCTGCACATCCCTTAGGTACCATGGCAATACATGCTATACAAATACAGCCAGCTAACTACGAAGCAGCAGGTTTAGGGGAACTGTGGTATGCTGGATTTGTGAAAATCTAAGTGCTGTCAATTTGTTAGACAAGTAGCAGGGGTAGAGACCAGTGAGCAGAAGAAATATATGCACATGTGTATGTAAATGTGACACCCACACACATGTGCATATATTGGATTTTGTAATGCCCCCTTTTCCCATTAATAAGGTGCCTTAAATCTTGAAAACAGCTGGAAGGCCACTGCCTGCTCCTGAAAAGAGTTTGTGTAAAAGGTAATTTGTAGTAAGACACTGAATTTTTATCCATGGCACAGAAAATAGACATTTTATTACAGGGAACAATCTTAACTATGGTCCTGTTTTTTTCAATGCGAGAAGAAATCTTTCCTTTTAGAAAATAAATATTTCTGTCGTTGCACATTTTCCAAATGAGTTACAGGGCAATTTACAGAAGCATTTTTTAAAGGATAGTTCTGATAAAATTATAATTTACTGATTAATTAATTAATCAATAAGGATTAATAAGGATTACTAATTAATAAGGATATTCCCTGATTAACTGGGTTTAAGGAACAAAACTCTATGCTAAATATGAAAGCTTGCACTGTTTGAGTGAGAAGAAAGCTACATAACTGGAATAAGCTCTTTTCCTAGGGTGCAGAAGTAAGATGTCTACAAGAAGAAGAAAGAAAACTACCCTTTTTCTATGTCCTGAGATGCCTCAGCCTGTAGCATGTGGTACTGAAGTAAGGCATGAAGACCCAGAGAGACTAAGGTATTGGACAAACTTGAAGGAAGATCTCAAAGGGGAAGATCTTTTCACTCATTGTAAGATCAGCTGATGAGTTGTTCTGTGTGAATTGTAAAGAACGATGGATTTGGCAAGCAAACGTCTCCCCTTTTCATACTACCAGTTTGCCTTCCCATCCCGAGAAAGGTATAGGAAGGCTCTTATCCTTGAACGCTTGTGAGTGAATCTTAATTTAAAACTATGCATAATCAGTCCAACATCCCAAACCATTTTCTGTTTTAATAAATATGATTTCAAGACCTCTCTGAAAGAAAGGGAACGGCTTGTGTTATAACTGACCCTGCTTGTACATTGTGTATGTATAAGCTGGAGGCCTCCTTCTCCTCCTGCATTTGTAGCTTTGAAGAGACAAGAATTGTTCAATAAGCAGAATAGAGAAGGGAGCAGAAGTGTGCTAAGAAGAAGAAAGAGAAAGAAATGTTGAGAGAAGATGGTGGAGGAGGGAGGGAGGTGGTGAGGGAGAGCAGCTGCCAAAACCTGAGGACAGCAGAGCAAAATACTACTGAAGCGTTGACTGTGATGGGTAAAAAACACATCACTCCCAGGTATGGTAGATAAATTGAGGCCAGGGAAAAGTAGAGGAAAGAATAAAAACTTAGAAAGCAAGGGACAGTAGCTGAATCCCACCTATGGACTTCTTAAGTCTCAAATATCAGGAAATTGAGCCTATTTAATATCTCAGATAAGCTCAGGGAAGCAAAGCTGTACTACTTGCTGCTTCTAGGGACTTGCATTTGATCAGAGCTGGCTGGCGTGTATGATATGGATGTTGCAGTTGCTGCGATGTGATGTGACAGCATGTGTATGTGCTGTTCTGACAGTGTCAGCTGGTGCTGCTGTCTTGGGTAATTTAAATAAGATTAAAGACATGAAATGAGACAACTGAAGAAGCAGCAGGATATTGATGAGATTACTGGGGCAGGCATTAGAGCAGGAGGTACCACTCCCTGCCACCTCTCCTCACCTGACTTTTCAAAATCAAAGTGAGAGGGGAAACATCAGTCTCAACAGCACAGACAAAGTCTGAAACTGAGCCTACTTCTCCTCTCATTTGGAGTCTCAAGTGCCATATATGCTTATAGCACGACTTGCTTTTACTATTTGTGTTTGTTATCAAGTAATTAGAAACAATGGCAGGGATCCTGGCTGTCTTCATGTCCCTAAATGAGACCACTGATTCCAGTGAAGCCAGGCCTGGCTGAAAGCTTCCCAGGTGCACAGGGACCACTCAGGTGTGTGGCATGCACACGTCTGCGAGCAGAGGTTTCCATTTCACGATGTGGGGGCTGAGGGAAGGCAGCAGATTGTACCTCAGGCCCTCCGCCTACATTCCTGCCCTTTCTGAGATGGCTCAGACCCTCCCTTTTCCTTCTGGGACTTCAACTCATAAGAATAGATTTGCATTTCCTAATCAGTTAACTTGCCTGGCAATGGGAGTTATTCTTTGTAAGTAATGCCATATTGTATTTTTGATACAAGCTTTTGCAAGCCCTTTGTTGTGCAAATATGGACCTATAACTCAAATAAACCTATTGGCTTCAGTTGGATTACCTGTAAGAGAGTTAAGTGCTATGTCATATGAATAAATACTGCTCTCTAACAGATAGATTCTGCAGTCTAGTAGCAATTTTATTTTTTGAAGGAAAAGGGGAAGCAGCACAAGTCACTAGTTAAACTGTGGAGATAATCACCTGCCGGTTCAGTTCATCTGCAAATGGGAGAGATTTGGCAATGTTATTAATGATCTACCATGGTCAGGTTTACATCTCAAAGTATCATGTCTTTTCATGTGGAGGAAGGGAGGAGAATCATGGCACATTTTGCAGATAGGAGAACGGCCACAGAAAAAGGGAAGGGATTTAGGGTTACCAAGCATCCTGTGGGAAGGCAAAAGTAGAACTTGGTTTCCCAGCTTCTAGTTATCATCTTTCAGACAGAAGGTAGCAATGTCAGCAGGATCTCTGGCCAGCTTGTAAAATTAATTTCAAACTCCTTTAAGTACCTACCGAAAAGGAAAATTAAAGTGATGAGGTAAACCAGATGTTATAGTTAGTATTGCAAACAGCATTTTTAATAACAAAGTGAAAATAGAATCATTTCTAGAACTCTTCAATATTTTTTCCCAGCTGTCATTCACTGTGTGAATCTCTGTTATCATGTGGGAGTGGATTCAACAATTTCCAAGGCATTTTTAACTGGTCTGTAGTTCTGCTGGTAAGTGGAAAGTCACAACTAGATCAGTAGCAGGCATCTGATGAAGGTTTCTCATTTAAGAAGTGGTGCCATGCAGCTAAAACCTTTCGTGATTTTAATGGGAATACTGGCAAAAATTTTTGGTGCTTCTCGCCTAAGCTCTTGCATTTGGAGTTCCCAGGGTGCCAATTTACTATTCTTTTGGTTTAGAAATGGAAATTGTGATGACTATCTTCAGCAAATAATTAAGAAAATTACTGATTAACGCACAGCGCTGTATTTCTGCAGTAGATTTCAAAGGGGCAAGATTTCTCAAACTTTTGGTGTCCCAGGATGACTGTAGTGATATGAGTAGAAAACTGCCATGATGCAGATGAAAGAAAAAGATCTACTGTATTTGGTTTTGAGAGGGAGACCTTGTCCTACCTGTAAAGTAGTTCTACTCAAGCAGTCGAGCAAAGCAGAGTCTTTTCCATAATGTAAAACATTAAACATCAGCAGTTTCCTTTTTGTAATGCCTTTTTGTTATCCTTTTTGCTTTTTTGTTACCCTTTTTGTTATGTCAACATATCATAGGGAGCTGTTGGAAATGATGCTCTTCCTACTAAGCTGCTTGCTCTCCAACTCCATTCAGCGCAGTTACACCTGATGCTCAAAGCTGAGGCACAAAAGCCATAGGATCTAATGAATCAGTCCTCCTTTTTGCACAGAAGAAAGCAGTTGTTTTTAAGAAACTGCATAAAAATTAGAGCCTGATTACCTGTTTTAAATAGAGGACGGGAAGGGGTTTTGCTATATGAGCTAAATAATGTTTTTTTCTGAGCTATCCAGGGCATGTCTAGTAAAAGCAACATGGGGTGGTAAAATTTGCAGAGACCTTTTAATCTGTTTTTTGAAAAGTCTTTGTTTTTGCAGACTAGAATAAGCAATTATGATAGCTGACTAAAGGTATTTTAAATATGTTGCTGTATATATCATGGTAAGCTGTTTCTTCATTCTAGGTCCTCACTCATATTCACATGAGTCTGGAGAATTTTATCAAGTGAGTTACTGAAAAAAGCATTGTTACTTATTTATTGGAAACTAGAATAAGAGTTTGAGTTCTGAATTGCAGAGAGAGTAGGTTTCTATCAACTCAATCTGTGTTTAATTGTTAATAACCCAAAAAAATAATGTTACTAGGTTTTTCACTGGTTGTGTTCATTGTTTCAAGTAACTGGCTTTTTTTTTTTTTTTTTTTTTTTCCCACCATGTTGTCTATACCAGTGACCCAAGATCCTTAGCTGGATAGAACAGCACAGTGGTCTGACTTCATGTTTCCAGTTGCCTACGCTCTTTGACCCATGGTTTCTGGGCTACCAGCATGACTCCAGCCCTTCATCCATCAGCAGTAGATAAGCAAAATCTTGCTATTTCTCCAAGTCCTTAGAAAAGGAGGCTGACTTTGCTTTGCCAGAGCATGAATGCTTCCATGGGCCCTGAGCATAGGTCTGGCCTACTGTCTTTGGCCAGCAGAATTTCTAAGTACCTTACGTCCAAATGCCTCCTCGCTACCGCAGTCTGCACTTCTGGGCTGTGGATGTCTGCTCAGGCTGTCCTCCTTTTTCAGGCATGGCATGCTGGAATGGGAAAAGATCCAAACAATTCCTTCTCTGATCATGTATGGGAAGTGCTGCCTGACAGCACCTGTCTGAGAGCACACTGCTTCATACAAAAAAGTAGAGAATCTTGTCCATAGCCTGTAAAGAGTTTTGTGGATCTTTCAACATAAAAAATGCTATAGAGATATTTGTCTTACTGCATTATAGAAATGTAGATCTTCTTGCTGATAATACTCAACTCTAGACAGTGAACTTACACCAATATCTACTGAGAATTTGGCCCATATAATGTGATTATAGTAAGAATTTACTCAAAGCAGGGGGGTGGTGGGAGCCTGAGAAGAGTGTAAGGAGGGTTTCAGATATCAACCCTTCGAGTCTAAAGCTTAACGGGATACTGCTGTTCCTTTTGAACTTCCCAACTGGGAGAAGTTCTGTGATTCAAGGTGTGGGGGAATGAGAGGAAGAGACAAGATAGGCATCTGGTGATAGTCGGACAGTTGAACGGCTCCGTAGTTCTGAGAACATCCCATCGTAGTTTATCCTCAAATCTGACTGCTTTTCTCTTTCAGGTACGGACTACTCTTTGATCCCATAAAGATCATCTCAGTTTTCATGAAAGACCCCTATAAGTGGCCAGCAATATATCTCATTGCCGGTAAGCCAGCAGTGTAGAAGTGCCATCAGCCAAATATGCAAGAATGTTACATTCAAAGTTGAAAAAACCCTGTGAATTATTTTAAAAACAATCTTTTTTCTTCTGGACTTTGTGGCTTGTACTCGGTCCAAGTTTTATCACACAAACCCAGATGTGGGTTTTTAGAGTTTTAATCTCTGCTAGGAGAGACTGCATATCTTTTGATTTTCTCATTTTGTTATAATCCTGTATTTACAAGCAGAGCTAGTAAAATAACAAAAAAGCACATTCAATGAGGAAGGTTTGGCAAACCCAAAGTAATCTCATTGAGATGAGTGATGTTTTTAGACCCTTATTTTCATAATACAGACTTCAAAAATCTATCTCCTTTTCACAGGAGAATTTCAGGGCCAAATATCTCAATGGCATAAATAGATGTAAATCCACTGAAGAAAGTGCTATTGCATCCATTCACCAATGGTGATTTTTCATTGATAGTGTCTTTTAATATCACAATTAGCAGCCCTGAAAGAAAATGAAACCACCTTTGATCAGTGCTTCAATGCAAGTGCTTTTATTCTGTTCTTTCCAACCCTTCATCTCCATCATAGAGTGTCTGAGTGTCTTTCATGAGTGCATTAAGTGTTGTATGCACTTCAGCCTTTCCCTTACGTCCTCTCCAAGAAGAGACTTGTATGCAGTACAGGGTGTTGTTTTTGTAAGGCTTCGTTTTTTAATGTCGACACTTTTACAGGTTTCTAGGAGAGATGGCAGACTGAAGGAGAGTAGTTTTTACTTCAGGTGGGGTTTGTAATGGCCTGTGATTTCTAACAGAGCTCATTCCACAGACTGAGGGTCAGATTCGCAACAGTTTCTGGGTTCCTAAGTCTATCAGGAGGTAATATCAATGGGAAGTGAGGTGCCAAAGAGGGACTTTGCAGTCCCTGTGACTAGCTGGTTTCCTGTATGGATCAGCTTTGTTAATGTGGTAGAAAAATCCACTTTGTTCCAAACAGAATCAAGTTTTTGATTCCAAATCGAATCAAGGCGATGAGAATCTTGGCCAGATGAGACCTGTTGGTTTACCTCTGTACAAGCAGATGTCAGAATCACTGGTGAATTGGGATGTCTCTGGGAACCTCTTGCTGCCCATAGTAGTTTGCTGCTCCTTTTCCACAAAGTGTGGAAACAGAGAGATGGTTAGCACATCTGAAATGTTAATGATGTGAAATGTGTGAGTCAAACCCTAAAGATAAAGATCTAATATGATTACCTAAAATTGCAGCAGGATGTTTATAACATCTTTGCATTCAGGTCTATTTTGGCTTTAAACATTAGGAATAATTTTATTATGGAACACCAGAAAATTGACACTTAGCTACTGTTCTTAATAAACATTGCTCGTCTTGTTTCCCTGCATGAGGTTACATTTTTATTGCTGCAGGTTCCTCCACTTTTAAATGTTCACTTGCATTCAATTTCCCTTTCTCATAATTAGCTGAGGAGGTAAGGGCATGATCATAGTTTGCTCTGACTGCCCAGACCAAAACAGCTAGCTATTTCTGCAAAGCTGATTAGGAGTGACGTGGTTAAAACCATTGAATTTAAATTATCACTAGATTTCAGAGTTAATCTCTCCTGGAGATGAATGAGAACAAGTTATATCCTTTTTAGTGCTGAAACACACCTACAAGCCCTTGCAGGCTCTTGAGAAGTCACGGAGATGGTATTGATTCCTTCCCTAACTCAGCAAGTTGGTGCAGAAGGATTTGAAGGGCCGCTCCAGGACTCCTCAGACAACCCTACAGAAGCAGTTGAAAACTGTAGATTTGTATGAATTCACTGTCCAGCTTTTTTATCTGATGCTGCTGCATGCTACCTTACCCACAGAAGGACCCTTAGAGACGACCCTGTCCTCCCCAGGCGGATGGCTTAGCAGCTGGCCTTGAATATGCTTCATTCTACTCACAGTCTCATCACTGCAGTGAGTCAGTTTGAGGCAGCCTCTCCATGGCTCATGGGCTCAGAAACTTCAGCCCTATAAATGCAAGTCCCATTTTGCAGAGCTTTGGTGATCCCCAGAAAAGTGTTAGCTGATCATTGCTGCTAGCAAGTTCGGCCCAGGCCAGCCTCTGAGCGTACATACCAGAAGTGGCCTTAATATAGGTATTTCTTGATGTTTTATTATTTCCTTCCTTGCAGCTTCTGTTTTGCTTGCCCTTCCTGCAGTTTTTATAGAAAGGTATTTAAAAAAGGTAAGTGAACTGATTCCTTCTTAATTATGCTTGCTCTTTGTAATGATGGGTCTTTCTAGCAGAATCCATCCTTTTAATCTGACTCCTTGCTACATATATATGGGGGGAAATGAGATGCCTGCAAGCCATGATATGTTTGTAAAGAACATTAGTGTTGCAGTGAGGTAGATACACTCATTCACTTTATACATTCATTTGGAGATTAGGGTCTAAATTTAGATTTATTCCCCAGTGAAAAGGGTTTTGTGGCCTCAGTTTTGATAGTTATTTCAATGCAAAACTACCACAGGAGCTAGTGCAACGAGTAGCCTTTGGTTTGGAGCCTGGGACTGAATGATATGTTAGAAGCTAGAGCCCTAGCTTTTAGTAGAAATGCATGGCAGAAATTCTTTGTGTGCCTGACTGCTCTCTGTCCAGCCCTTCTGTGAGCTCTCCATTTCACCAGTTCCCTTCTGATTAGAGCATGTTATTCATAAGGCCAAACTGTCCCTGGATAATGTAATAACACACCATTCGTGTCCTTTGTAGGTTCGTGGCTCTGGATGCATAGGTTTGGCATTGCAGACTCTGAACCTGCTCTCACTGGTAGCATTCCCTGCTGTGATGGTTTATAGAATGAAAGCCATAACTCCAGGTGAGAGATTTGCTTGGGGCTATAAGCGTTACCCTGGCTTACCTTCAGCCCAGCAGTAAATGGCTTCATGTCCCAGAAGTGATGTAACTGTCACTGTAGAAGGAGGGCTGCCCAGTATAAAATATTATCTTTAACAACACTCAAAATTAAAAAAAAGCATTTAAGAGTATATAGGGCAGACTTGTTAACCAGGCCTACATAGCTTACGAGCAGGTTTTCTGCAGCGTGCATAGCATAAGAGGTCAATTTTTGAAGGCATTCTGTCTTTCCATGCTAAGTGTAATATTCTCTGGCCCTTTTGTATATATATGTAGCTATCATCAGGGAAAATGGTAATGAGTTTGCATACCAAGGAGATATTAAATCCCAATTCCCCTTCAGTAATGTATAATGTCAACAGAAGCCTTTGATGAATACAGCCTCTTCTTAATTAGATGCTTGAGCAGGAGATTATTAATCCGTTTATCTCAAATTCTAATTGTACCATGAATTGCTTGCTGTTTTATGCCTAAGTTTATGTTCATAATTATCTTTCTGGAACCTTTAAAGAGCTATGCTCATAAATGAAAATATTTTTGGAAGCTTGTATTCTTATTTGTATTCCTTTCCTCAATGTGCATGTTTGTAAATATTCTGAAAGCCTTGCTCTATCAGCCAAGGGTATCCTACAACATAACAATTCAGGAATTGCAGCTATATGTCATTTCCACGGTAGTGATATCTGACATTTAAAAAACATGAATTTTGGCACCAGTGAGGGGAACTGGCTGATTATCATGGCAAAGGCTGCTCTTTATGTACCAGAGCTACAGAGCAGGCAGGATTTGGGTACCTGCCAGGTTTCAAACGCATCTTAAACCTTAAGCTTAGGCTGTGATACTAATGAGCCTATAGATCTGAAAATTAGTGCTAGGAGATTCAGAGCAAGCCAATAAATTTGCTAAAAGAGCATGTAGTTGCCTGGATGACCTATATTTGCCTGGATACAGCTGAGGAGTCTTTTGACAAATATCCACATAGCAGGCAAATACTGTTTTCCTTTGAACACACTGAATTGGCCTAATTGGCTATTCATGGTGAATACTGCAATAGCTCCATCTACTGAAACAACTCATAAATCAATGGAAACGTCAGAAAGTTGCAGCAAATGATATTCCTCCTCCTGTCTTCTAAGCTATTAGCGCCCCACTGTGTTTCTATCTTTAGGACGGTCTATTTAGGAATAGACTAAGCAGGCTATAAGAAAGTCTCTCTGTGTGTATGTATGCCCACACAAGAGAGTGAGAGAGACCAACAGACACGTGGGTGACATTCAGTTGAGTGAAATAATGAATAACAGTAAAGGAAGTCACTTTCTTAGAATGGCTCTCTTTTTATATGGGCTGCCGTACAGGACTTGCTGCGTGCAAGCAAAGCTGTCATGGCCCCTCTCTCTTACAGCTGAAAGATTTCAGGGTGGGATGAGGCTGGCTCTGCTCCCATCCTTTAAGTTGTAGGAGGACCCTCTATGGCAGACACTGTGTATCTGTGTTGATATGCAGCTGGGACATAGCGAGGGAGTCACGGCCACCCACTCAGAAGGTGCACTGACCACAGAGGGCTCTGAGGCAGTCTCTCTGGCCAGACGCTCTGCTAACATCTCCGCTGGTGGCGTTAATTCCAAGTATGTATGAAATAAAATGCTACCTGGGCAGCTGAGTGTCACTGCATCTCAGGTTAGCCAAGGGAATGGTTTATAGATGTCTATTTTGGATGCATCTGGCAGACTGTATAAACAAGGATGTCTGTTATCTGATTAGCAGAGGCAGAGGGGTTTCTTGTACTGTCTGCACTTGGGAAGCTAAGATAACTTGGTGTGTCAGCTCCTGCTTCACTCTATTTTCTCTCTTTTCTCTTAGTTGGCGGGCTGCTGACCATGTTTGTGTATCTCATCATTACCCTGAAACTGTTCTCCTACTACCAGGTGAATCGCTGGCTTAGGGAGGGGAACCCCAGATCTGTCAGAGGAAGTGCCAGGATGCAAGGTCAGAAAATGCAGCAGCCTTCCATCAATGTGAGCGGCAGCAGACATTGAAAAGGATGATCTACTTATGTGTGGACTGAGCTCAGAACTGGGATTTCCGCGCCCTGCTCCCAGTTCTGTTACGGATGTAGTTTGTGACTTGGAGCAATTCATCCTCTTTGTTTCTCTGTTTCCCTGTCAGTAGAGAGTCTTTGGGACATCTAGACATCTTCTGCCTCACCAGGCTTTTGGAAGCGCTGATTAACATGTCCATTTCAAGGCATAAATTGCTGCACGGGGCTAGATCTTGTTTTAATGCATCAAAGGAAGGTTTTATAGCTGCGTTTGAGGGGAACAGAACTGTGGTCTAAGTGCTTACACACAGTCACACCACACAACAGGGAAAGTTAATGCCTAGATTCCTCCCCTGCTCTCCCCTAAACCTCTCTGTTTGCTCCTCACACCAACTTAGTAACATTGCTGCTTACTCCCCAGGCTCAGTTATCTCCTGAACAATGTTTGTTCCTGACGTTTTTTCTCACAGCGCTCTTCGGCCTTAAAAAGGCACTTTGATTCTTTCTCTGTTCTTTGACTTGGAGCTAATGGGACTCACCCAGTCCTGTGAATCAGAATAAGTTCCTCGGCATCTCTGCCTTGTGGACTGAGCGAAGCAGAGGCTCTGTGGAAAGCAGACATGGGATCGTGTAATTACAGATTGTCCAAAGTGTATGTGCAATGCGACTGATTGAAGCTGCATGACTATTTCAGTATAAAAACATGCCTTTTTTGCCATGAAGGCATAGCCTTAATGGGGAGTAATGGCAAAAATGATTCCAGTTCTTCTCTGCCATTGACAACGTTGAAAGCAATCTTAGGCTGATGCTGAGCTTTTTTAAATACCGCACTTCATGCTTCTATTTAGTCAGTCTTATTTATGCTGCTTTTTAACCTCCTTCCTCTCTTCTTCTTAGAGCATGTGAGCCTTCTTTTTATGCAGTACATGATCTTGCAACAAAATCCTGTTTCCTGGTTATCCTACCAGTATTTTGTGGGGCGTATAATCTCAAAGAGGATGAGAAGTGTTCATGACAGGATCTCCTTTTAAATTAGCCCGGTAATGATGATGTCACATCCAGGCTACCCACACTCTCTCCATGTAACACTGAACAAGTCATTTATGTCAAGAGCCTAAGAGGTATCTAAGTGCCTTACTCACAGTTGAAACCTTAAAAACAAGAGGACGTGATGGAGAGGAGGGACTTGAAGTGAAAATATCTTTGAGGATTTGTGAAACAGCTCAGCTTTGAGGATTTGTGCTGTTCCTCTGTGTCCCATTTGTAAAAGAGGGACAACAGCATTGTCCTAATTCACAGGTGGGTGAAGAAAATCCGCCCATTAGAAGCTGTAGGTGCTCAGAGTCTCGAGCTTTTAGTGTTCATTTGAATCCCAGAAGAGAGAGAGAAGGGTTCCCTGCCCCAGCTTGCTGGAGACTCTGCAGGAATCAAAACAAAACTAGAAGGGAGTAAAAAGTTCATGCTGGTGCCATCACCTGGACTTCATGGAAAGCTTCCTGGTGTAGTATCAGCCATTTCTTGTTATGTAACGTCATTGGTGGCCTTGGATTCACCTGAAACCAGCTGATCCCTTGTATGCTTTGTGTTAGCAGCAGAATGTTCCAGCCATCACTCCAGAAGGAATGAAAGAGGACAGTCAAAGCAGATTGTGTACCCAATGAACCTCAAAGTAAAAGGTAACAACTCCTCCTTTTACAGCAGGTACCTCTTCTCTGTCAGCAGAGTAGGATTTTTATAATATATGCTGCACAGCATTGCAGAGAGAGCCTAGCAGGTGAGTAGCTTCTGCTTCCACCAAAGGAACAAAAATTGCCTTCATAATCTCTCTTAGGTTTGGTGTTATTCCTCCAAAATTAAACCTCTGTTGGAAAATACTGTTGTTTTTGTAAGTGACCTAAGATTGCTGTTTTCAAGTTTGCTGTGTGTATTTGACAGCACTTCAGGTATAAGAAGTATCGCCATTTCCTCCTGTGTAGTCTGTTTTTGTGCACATGTGTCTTTCACTAGGCAACAGAGGCACAGAAAAAAGTTTTCAAATGAAAATCATGTTTGTAAAATTGCAGAAGCTGGTGGTTAGTGAGTATTCTAGGGCACGTGGAGTTCCTGGAAACCTTTTCAAACACACTTTTCTATCATCTCATTTTGGTGGCTGATAAAATGAGCTTGTATCTTTGAAAAATCCCTCCAGTTGAACTCCCTGAGAGTTGTGGACGGACGTTTTGGTATTTTGAAAGTCAGGGCATTAGTTTCAGTTCCTAAACAATAATTTAACTTGAGATATCCATTTAATAATATTCCCCAAATCCTTCATCATGAGTTTCATGTGTGATGCGTGTCTCCCAGTGCTGCAATTCAGCAAACAAGCTAGTCTGGTTTTTAGAGAAGTAGTAGTGGTACCGGCACACTGAACACCTGTGCAAGAGTTCTGCTTGATCTACAGTAGCAGTGATAAGACCCTCCTAAGAGGATGTGTTTGGCTTAGAGGGTCTCTTTGCTGCATTGCCAGTTTTCCTCTCATTTATGTGAGCTGAGTTTTTTGACTGCTGAATTCCAAATGAACACTGCATCAGTGAGCTAATGTGAGAGCTTTTGGGGCATTGTACCCTTAGACACTGAAAAACATTTTGTACTGAATAGTGACAAGGCAGCAGTCAGTCAGGCTCATTTATAAACGCAGTGAGTTTTATCTGCTATGCAGTGCAATTTGGGCTTATGAGACTCTTTCAGCTTTGTCCTCACGTCGAGGTTATTTGATGAGTGCATGGATCTGTGACTGAGAAGATGCAAAGATAAAGAACGAACCCACCCTTTAATGTCAAGACCATTGTCATTGACTTCAACAAGCTAGCAATCACCCTAGATCAATACAGTGTAGGCACTGTATTTTCTGTATTCAGATGGTTCAGTGTCATCCCATGAGTACTGCTGTCCTGCATCTGGTGTTCCCTTCACCTCAATCTGTTTACTACCACTTTGTAGTTCTGAAAGGAAGCTTAAAGCCCCTGTCCCTCTTTTTACATGAAGTAAACTTCTAACAGGTATTATCTGTGATGTGCCAGCCATGGTTCTGTACAGTCACAAAAGGAAGTGAATGCCCCCATGTGTCACAAATGGTCTTCAAAAAGCCTGTGGCTCTGCTTAAGATTGGAATATCAATGTGGGTTTCAGCAACATGGAGATTCCCATTTATTTCCCAGCTACAGCTAGTGAAACCATGACAAGGTATGCACTGATACAGCTCCCAGAACTGCACAGAACAACCTGGGCTCTGAATGTTAGAGTAGTTTTTTTTTTAATCAGACTTAACACAAGAAAATAATGTAGTATTTCTCTTCTTTCCCTCCAAGACTTGTATTACTTTCTGCTAGCCCCAACACTTTGCTACCAGCTGAATTTCCCACGGCTAAAACAATGCAGATATGGCTACATCATTAAGAGGCTGCTTGAAATGGTAAGAAAACGGCACTGCATTTAAACCTGTCAGCTTCTGAGACCCTCCTTGAATAATAGCAATTGTCATTTTAAATGATGAGATTCACAGTACAGTTGGCCTATGTTCCCTTGGATGCTGATGTAACAGCTGTGTGTCAAACATTGCCTTATCACACAGGCATGTTTTCCCTGATATTTGAGGGAAAAGAAGGAAGTTATTTCTGATATTTTAAAATGATTTTCTTAGGTCTGTGGGGTCCTGAAGGAGTAAACAAATGTCCTGCAGACTGTATGTGCACTTTGCTAAAAATGCAATAGTCACCATAGCTGTCTGCAGCTGCTTTCAATGTTGATACAATTGTGCTGTTAAATCATGCACATTTCAGACATCATATAGTGATGTTTTACTAATCATGGGGATTTTACACAGTCCTTTCTAATCCCTCTCTCCTTTTTTAGGAAGTTGGGATTTGGTCATCATAGATTAACCTTTAAAGGGGCTCTTGTGAGAACTGACCTAGAGGTGATGTGAAGTGTATGGGACTCTCACCTCCTGCCAGTAAATGAGACCAAATTAAGCCCCCTAGTCTAGCCACTCATTGCAGAGCCATTGGTCCAGCAAGGCAAGGCTGTGTGTGGTCCGTTGTCAGTGTGGGCAACGTGCATGGTGGATTCCCCGAAACGCTGATGATGAGCAGGGCCCTTGCATTAAGATGTTGACATCTTATATTAGAGTGAGTAATGTGCTGGGACACATGCCAGCTTCCAAGACCTCCACAGGAAGGCTGCAGCGTAAGCAATTTCAGTGTCAGGTAATTGTGCTTGAAGACAGTGTGGTGGTTGTGGTATACAAATGCAAAATAGATGGAGATATGGAGTGATGCCTGAGGATGTGGTGATTTTAACATGATTAATGAAGGACGTTGAAGTCGTGTCATGTTTTATTTGCAGGTATTTCTCTTTCACCTCATGCTGGGGCTAATTCAGCAGGTATTGGTTTTTTTGTTTAATATTAAAACCCAGGGATTCGTTGTCCCATATAACAAGGACTGCTGGGATGCAGTTATTACCATTTAACGCTATAAGCTAGTTCACAGAATCACAGAACGGCCAAGGTTGGCAGGGACCTCTGGAGATCATCTAGTCCAACCCGCCTGCTCAAACAGGGTCATCTACAGCACATTGCACAGGATCACGTCCAGGCGGGTTTTGAATATCTCCAGGAAAGGAGATGCCACAACCTCCCTGGCCAACCTGTTCCAGTGCTCAGTCACCCTCACAGTAAAGAAGTTTTTCCTCAGGAAAAAAAAAAACCCTCAGTTATGACTGACCTGCACCACTTTATTCTCTTTATTGAATAAAGTACCTGTGCGTCTGCCTTAATGCTTATGCAGTGCAAAACCAGCTCACTTTATCATGTCTATACTTATCCCGATCCACTTAAACATACATATCCCTATCTACTTATCTGTATCTACTTAAACAACAATTCAGAATTCCAGTGCCTGCTTAGTGTGAAGAAAGAAAGAGAAGGCACTGGGATGAAGGAATGGAGAATTTTCAGCTTCCCTGTGCATCCACTGCCTTTCTCGTTTTATTTTATGGCCTACTGGATGACCACTTGTATCTCTGGGTCTGAGTTTCCTCTCCCCTGTAAAAGGCTGTAAGTTTTTAAGGTATTGTGGGCTCTGCAGAAGACAAGCTTTGTAGCTATGTTAATACAAATATTTCTTGCCAATGCTTCCCTTGACATCAGCTCGATCTCCCAGCAGCTGTCACTTGGCTTATTCAGGATCCACTGCAGGTTTTCTCCAGAATCCTTTGTGCCCGCAGTGGTGGCAGCTGAGAACAGTAAAGGGAGATTTAGTCAAAGAAGATTTTTTTGGTGGTATCAAGTGAATTTTTTGTTCCAGTATAAGTATGGAGTAGTCCTTACAAAGCCCTCACTATAGTAAAGTACTTAAAATAGTTATCTCTGCAAGCTATTTACCTAAGCTAGCAGCCTTTTGCACACAATAGGATACACTGTGGAGGCGCCTCTCTGTTGATACCTCTCAACAGAGTTATTTTTGTGCCTTTGTCTCCCAGCTGGAGAAGGCTGGAGGACTTTGTCCTGCTACCCTTGGCTTATCCCACTCATACAGTGGGGTTTCGAGCTTGGCTGCCTGTCTGAAGGACGGTGAAGGCGTTACAGCTGTCCTCGTTGCTAAGCGGAGAGCAGCCCGTTGGTCATCTGCTGCTGGAGCACACTTGTTTGCTGGTGCTGGTCTGTATGGGCTCATATGCTACAGAGGCTGCAGCTGTGTTTTTTAATTATAGCAGACACAAAATAATGAGTGACTTTACAGGGCCTTCCAATCAGAACTGTATGTACCTTCATTGCTCTCTATTTATTTTTTCTTTCAGTGGATTGTACCAAATATACATAAATCAATGAAGCCCATAAATGTAAGCAAATAATACCAGTTTATTTTCTTTGACCATATTCTACTTCACATTGTTGCTAGAGATAATGTTTTAATTTATTTTATTTATTTCTGCAGGAAATAGAGTCTACCTTGCTTACCGAATACATTTTGAAATTAGCGGTAAGGTCAATCTACGTGCTTGTTGTTCAACAGCTAGTCTGATGCATGCTCGTTAGAGACTTCACCTTGCAATATAAAACAAAGCAGGTTGGGGAATGCAAGCATGTTAGTTCTGTTCCCTTCTTAATCTGTCAAATACCATTGCCCTTCATGGTAGCATTCCTGAAATGCCTTCATGCAAAATACCAATATCAAAGCCAATGGATTTCATGGAGTTTCTGCTTAGTGTCTCTTTTGAGGATCATAACTGTACTTTGGGTATGGCATCTTATCAGTTTTGACAGGGGGTTGGATAAAAAGGGCTTGGAGAGGTTTCAGTATTTTGTACGTCATACTAGAAAGGCTTTTTCAGAGAGGAATATTTTACAGTGTTTCTTAAAGTTTGACTCTACAGTCACTTGATCTGCCATGGAAGTTAATTCCCTAGCTTGACAGTAGTTTGTTTCCAGCTCGTCCCAGGCTTCATTTTGGGCTTTTCAATTGTCTCCTGGAAGTGTAGTTGTTTGGTGCTTTGGGGGTCAAAGTACAATTTCTGATGCAGCAGTTCTCTATGCATTGTGCTGATCATAAGGAGTGAGGCCGTAAACTGCCTTGTATAAACTGGGCAGCAGCAGCCTGTACCAGCTGGAGCCTATGCCCTGTATTCACAGCCATCTTCATACACTGAATTATGGCGACCCAGCCAGGAAAAGAGTACTGCATAGACTCAGGGCTGAGAAGAAAGGACAGCATTCCTTAGAGAGAAAATTGCAACACTGATTTAGCAGCCATGCCACTTCCCCAAATACTTATGCAGGAAGACCCGTCTCATTCCTGAGAGAACCTTATACGTTCTTTTTCTCTTCCCTGTATTAGTCTGCCCCCTCCTTTTCTACTTGCAAAGCCTCTCAGCGGTTCTTCTGCTGCAGGCCTCAGTTTCCTTGGATCTGTGACCATCACATCCTAATTTATGAACAACATTGCTGCTCAGGAGGAGTAAGGGATCTGCTGCTGCTGCACCTCTCAGCCCTATCAACCTTTATGGCACTTGATTGCCCTCCCAGTGATTCGTATTATTTTAAGTGGGCTTGGGCCCAGACTCAACAATCAATTTAATCTCCAAACTTCCTACTGAAATTAATGAACTGCAACATTCATGTTGACTCTAGTGGGATATATCTCTTGTGATTCATTCATTGCTCTTTTCTGTATCTAAATCTTTTCCATGCTATCAAACCTGTACAGGGCTTGAACTTGGCCTGGCTCTGGCTTCCCTGCTTATTGCATGCTACTTTTTGCACATCTGCTGAATTGTTAAATTCTCTGACATTTGTAAAAGAATATGAACAGCTCGGATTCTGCTCAGGGCCTAGCTTTGAACGCATACAGAACTCCATGCAGACTGCCTATAACGTGGGGCTGCTGGGCACTAGCTTCTGGGAAGACTCATTTACACACATTTATAAATAGCCTGGATAGAGCCCTTACACATCTGCCTGTATTCTTGGGTATTTCCACTTTTTACATCCATATATGAAGATAGAAGCAATGGGCACTGTAAGTTTGCAGTGGGCTTTGGAGTTGTAAATCGTCAGTGAACAAGCCGTGTTCATCTTAGGGAAGCAGGTGCCACTGGTGATTTGTACATTTTTTCCCCCACGCTCTTGCACATCACTATCAAGACGTGAATTGATTTGCTTTTGTGTGCAGATGGGATTCAATGGTGCTGGGATTCTCATCATACTCATTTTTTCACAACTGATTTTCATCTGATTTCCTTTGCTGTGCCGGCCTGCCTTTCAGGCTGTGCTCGTATGGTGAATCACAATGCCGACAAAATCCAGGCCTTTCATCGCCTGAGTGTTGAGCCGGGTGCTGTTGGCTATTACATCCATCAACAGGTTTTCTGACAGCACAGTTAACCATGAATGTCAGGCAGGAGAAGCGAGAAGACTCTTGTCCAACATCAGTGTCGAGAAGTGGCTTTTGCCATTTGGTGCTTTCTCAAACTATTATTCTTAGAGTGAGGATCTGGCCAGAAGTGTTTCCTGTCATAAATTTAGCTAGCTTTTTCCTTAGCGCTAGCTCAGTCGCTTTCTTTAATCTTCTTGAGACGTACAGCAGAGGACCCTGCCCATCTCTGAGGTGTCTCAGAGGACAGCTTTCAACCCAAGTTTGAGGTGGATTCTCTGAAAACCTGAGTTTAACACCCAAAGGCCCAACACCCTCACTTGCTTTTGCAGTGAAACATTATAAAGCCCATTATAAAATAGGCTTTATACTCTTTCTTATATTCTCTTTCTTGTATCACCAATGAAGGTATATAGCATCTTTAGTCTCATATAACTGTGTTACATGAGGAGTCACAGGAGACTTGTGACTGTATGATACTGATGTATTTAAAATGTTAACAACTTTTGTATGCAGGCATGGACCAAGTTGGTAATATTCACTGAAGGTAGTGCTGTGATTAATTCACCAGCATTTCTATACTGTAGCTCCTGTGTTTGCCTTTATCTAGTTCAGTTAATGAGGACTTTTTTTTTTTTTTTTTTACTTAAGATAACAAATGCACACGCATGTGCTGTCTCTGCAGGGCATCCTCCCTTGTTCGTACGTGGAATAGGGGGCTAAGGAACGTGAGCAGAGACCAAAGAAGCCATGTTTCCTTAAGGGCTCTCTGTTTCTCATTCTCTCAGTCCCAGCATCATCTCCTTACACACCACAGACCCATATAGCTTTGCAATTTACTCCTGGTACCTTGCCCTCTATTGGTCTGTGAGATTATTTATATCCAAATAATTTATTTGTCGCCTTTTATATTAACAGCATATTTAAAAGATTCTCTCAGTGCTTGGCCTGCAAATGGATGGTTTAAATCAAGCTGAGGTAGATCTCTCTCTAAGAACAGTTGTATCAGATTATAGTCAAACTGTGCTGAAACAGTGGAATTGAACCAAGAGGGAAGAGTTTATTTTATTGTCTGTTTCTCCTATAGGTGCCAAATCATTTCGTCTGGCTGATATTTTTTTATTGGTACTTTCACTCCTGCCTCAATTGCCTTGCAGAATTGCTACGATTTGGAGATCGGCAATTTTACCTAGACTGGTGGTAAGGTGTCTTTCACCTCCTGTAGAAAGAGTGGGCTGCAGCTTAGTGTAGCCTAATTTAGGTATGTTAAGAACTGTGAAATAGTTTTCAAAGAATAACACTGATTAGCTGGTAACACATCTAATTTGACAAGTCTCTAGCATGACTGAATGCTGTCTTAGAATTTAACCAGTCAGGTTCGTTGGGTAATCCATGTTTGGCAAAAACAAGATAAGGCTTTCCGAAAACAAGGTCACAGTCCCTGCCTACCTCCCATTTATGACTGTCATTTACACCTTCGTGGAGAGGGCAGTGAACATTACCACCAGTGTGACAATGATTTTATACCTATTTTGGTATAAATGACTGTAACTGATATACTTTGTTCACATTAGGAATAAACATTAACTTTTGCTTTCACCACTGTTTCTTTAGAAACAGACACTTGATTTACTCAAGTAAGGTATGGACAGGATCCAAATCAGATCTTTACCTATTTTGGCTTGACATATAATCCGGCATCTAAAATTATTTTAGCTTCTGTTTCTTGTTTCCATTCCCATCCCCACACAAGGAAATGGATCTGTGAAAACAAGTACCAGAAGACTCTAAATGACATTTATGTTTTCAGTCTTTGCTGGATTTTCTGTAATCTGAGCTCCTTTTCCCGTGTAGTTGGCTAAGAGAAGCTAGACATCTTGGTATCAATAACAAATGACACAGAGTCAGTAGCTAGGCAAAAATGAATGTACATCCAGCTATTGATTGCCTGGCTAGAAGTCATTCAGAAGCCTGCTGAACTCCAAATTGAGAAAAAAAAACACTTTTAATAAAAAGGAAAAAGCAAACCTTAAAACAACACTTTCAGAAAATATTTTCTAGGAGTAGCTGAATTCCTTATACTCTTATTTTTTTAGCCAGTAAAACCACATGCCCTTATACATGTTAATACTATGTACACATATATGAATAAATATATAGTGTATTTACACAGTATTTACATACCTACTTGCATATATAAATCATCAAATTATTGTATTAATAAAAATCTATTAAAATTTTAAGTGTTGATGGCACAGAAGTTACAGTCTGGGTTTCCACGGAGAACAGGAACATGCATGTATGAACCTAAAAGTGAAACAAGATTTGCAGTGGGTTAAAGGATTCTTTTTTTGACCTGAAATATATATGGACATTTAGGAAGACATGATGTTGATAAAGATGATTTTAGCCTCTCAAGTAACAGCCCCTCTGAATGTCTGACTTCAGTTTGAAATGCTCACGTCTGGAGGAGTCAGGTCATGGGTGACTGACACCGGTTCGCCTGTTGTGGTTCCCATAGACACCTTGAAGTAGGGTGTGCCTTGCTGGAACAGGTTCGGAGCAGAGACAGATAATATTGCATGAGTCAAGAATTCAGTCCTTTACTTTTTAACTTCATTACAAAATCGTAAAATACATTCTAACATGTTAATATGTAATGCTAATATTTTAATATTACTTCATATGAAATGCAAAAATCAGCTAGAGATGCAGCAGGTGACACTCCAGTGCAAGGTGCAGGTCAGACTGCCCACCCTGACCTGGCACCCTGATTTTAGAGCAGACACAGGACACGAGGAGCTCTGTGCCAAGGAAATTGGTCAACAGGGGTGCTGCACAGCACGATTTAGGCTGTGTCATTGTAGTTCTCTTCTCTTCCAAGGTTCAGTGAGGAGCTCTGTGTCCTTGCCCTATCCTCTATGCCAAAAAGATATCAAGGGTTAAAAGTCTCTGCTCTCCAGGGATGTTCACTAATAGAGCACTCTCCAGCTGGCTGCCAGTGACTGATTTTTAAAAATAACCAAAACATAGGAGGTCACAGAATCTATTAACCCAGGAAATGTTGTTATCCCTAGAACAACAAACATTTTATGAGCTAAATTACAGCTTTGACAACAATATATTTAGAAAATAATGAATCAAGTCCCAAAAGTCATGAAGCTGGCTTAGAAATCATAAAGATCTTTTTTTCAGCAGGCTGTAGCTTTTTAAAATATTCTTCTGATGTCTGACTCTTTAGAGTTCACAATGTTCAGGTTTTTCACAAAGGGCAGATTTTTTTTTCTTTTCTCTAGTGAAACATCACTCCAGAGCTGGCTCTAAGGAAGCCAGTAGATATTACGAGATGAAACCATGCCATGATCTTCTAAGTCCCGATTTTTAATTATTAAGACAGTATAAGTTAAATGTAAGTTACCAATATGGACACGGCATTTAAGAGAACTGCAAAATTACCGTCCCTGGAGTGTAACCAGGAGATGCTCCGTCGGATGTTTCATCCTCTTTGACGGATGAAAGCGTTGTCAGGAAGATGAAATGTTTATATCCTGGCAGAGTCAATGATAAGGCAATGTGTGCTGGTATCTCTCATCAGTCAGACATTTGTTACCTTGACTGACTGACTGTTCCAGTTCTCTCAGACTGCCAATGCTTTAAAAGGGAAATCAGGAACGGTGCCATTCAGATTACAGACTGCTCAAATGTTCAACCTGATCTTATCGTCTGCTGCACGGCACTGAACATACATCATGGACCAGGCGAACAGTAGGTTAGGTGTGGAGTCTGGCAGAGGAGGTTTCCTTTAGTCCTCCTGATAAATATCTACAGGTAGCAGCTAATCTCTGCAACGCTTTCCTACACTCAGTTTCGCTGAAATCAACAGCTGCTGCCTTTCTGGGGCTCTCCGTCTGTACTCAGAACTTCAGTCACACATTTATAATTAAGCCTGAAACTCCCTCACAGCTGACAAGGGCCAAAAATAATTTATCAGCTGTAAGTTTGGTGATTTAGCACATCAACATTGTATGCGTTATCATGTCTTTGAGGTCATGGTCTCTAAATTCTAAATGTGGAAAAATGTGGAGTACTGCTCACATTCAAATTGGCAGCCTGTGTGAGTACATGGAGCATCCACTTTGGGTTATTTGGCCCCACTGCCCCAAACGAGCGTTGTCTTCATTTCAGACTCCAAGGGTGACAGGGAATCCAGTTTTCTTACGATAAGATTTTCAGTTGTGCTGTGATAACCAGCCCGAATGCAATTTGATACACCTTTACCTCACCCATGGGGAAGGATGTCTGTGTGGTAGGATGGGTGCATGGTGCCTCTCGCGTTATAAAAAGACGACTGGTTCTACTCCTTCTGTCCTTGCAGGAATGCAGACTCAGTTTTTCAGTTCTGGTCCAGATGGAATATCCCGGCTCACAGATGGCTAGACAGGTACAACACTGCCTTCTGCACTTTCCAGTTAACATGCGCTGTATTTGAAAGATGAACCATCACTGCTGGGGAATCAATAGCATTAATAATAATAATCTTTTTTGAAGGATTAACTTGCTCAGAATATGTCTGTCTGTCTCCTGTATGGCCCCAAAAATTTGGCTGGCTTGCAATTTAACTCTGAGGCATTGTAATTAAACCTTGACATTTAAAGTAATTAATTAGCGAGCTTTACATGTTAGTGTAGTCTCAAAGGAATAGCAGGGTGCTGACTGAAATGAATAAACTTTGTTAATTTAACAGCTTCAAAGTTGCTGTAAGCATGTAGTTTGTACTGCTGGGAATGGTCTCTTCAGAAATAGTATTGTAGCCCCTGTAAGCTAAATCTTAGCCTTCCTCGGGGGAGGGATCTAAGCAGAAAATCACACTGCAGAAAACTATGAGGGCAGGAATCAGGACTCCTATCAGGGAATAAATGCTTCTTGTGTCACCCACTCTACTTCTTCACGCCAAAATCTTGGAAAAGTCCAGGAAGCCCAGGCTGTGAGCATCTCTATGACCTGGCTAGGAAGGAGGCAGATTCCAAGGAATTCCTTAATATTTCAGCTGGAAGGTGGCTCCTATAAAACTATAAATAGACAGAAAATGTTCCTTTCCAGCAGTGCCTTTGGGAGGCTGTTTTTATGGCATTTCCCATGCAGATTCGGAGAGTTAAAGAATGCCTATGCATTTCAGCCCAAAAGCTTCCAGGAGAAAGCAGCAGTCACCTGCCACCCCAGTGAAAGCCTGTGAGTTGGACACAAATCAGCTTTGCTCCTGCTTGGCTGCTGAGCAAAGTGAGAAAGGCAGCAGTGTAAGAACTGAGCCTTTTAAGTGAAGAGATCAGGACTGGCAACATTCATGACTCTCTGATACTGACTTCCACCTCTACAAAGTCGCAGGCATTTTCTGGAGGATCCTTGTGTCTGTCACCTCCCGACAGACAAAAGCTATTGCTGAGCTTTAAAAAAGTAGTTCATAAAATTAGGCTCCTTAGGCTACCTAAATAGGTAGACACATAAATGGCCTGGTTTTGATTTTTAAATAAACTCCTCAGCTATTTTTATGGCATCCACAAAGTACTCGGCACTCCTGAAAACCAGAAGCAGGTTGCTGGTTTTCAGTGCCCTTGGTAGGGACAAAGAGCCTAACTTAAAAATGATCATTTTTTTGTAATATCTCACCCTTCTTTATGAATAGCTTTCTAATGTGTGTGCAGTAAAAGATGCAAAGGAAGGGTTAAAACCCATCCTGTATGGAAGCACACAGGATCCTGGGCAGCCTGTGAAGGTTTAGACTTAATTTCATGGCAGCATACCTACCCAGCAGCTCAGAGCAGCCTCTTCTTCCCCAGTTCCATCAGTCACTACCAAGATTTTAGATCAAGGTGAGAATGAACAGTGTTTCTGCAAGTCACTGTAGCTCTTCTGTGAGCTGCTGCTTTCACTTATTTGTGTGCATGTTTGGAGCGACTCCTTTGGCTTTGGTGGCTGATTGATATAAACCCCATTATCTTGCTCTGTGTGATTAATCCTGATGTTAATGACTAGCAGTGCACGGGGAACAATTTATCAAGCTTCTTCACATTGTTCTGTGCTGTGTAAATAGACACGTCTACAAGCCCTTACTGCATCACGGTTATGACAAGTGGCAGGCCCGACTGGCTGTGTTTCTACTCTCTGCATGTTTCTTCGAGGTAGGTCACAGTAGCAGCCATCACGGCATACTTAGCTGATGCTGCCAGAGACTTTCAGTCACTTAAACTCATAGCTTTAAGAGAGACTTCTGAGATTTTGAGAGTTGCTCTAGTTGCTTACAGATCCCAATCCAAGCTGGATGTCTTGTGCTGAGACCAGCATCTAGACTAAAGGACTAAGGTTTGAGGTTGAGTTAGATAGCAAATAGTTTTGAATACTGATGTAAGTTCAAGTGAGAGGAGTCACATTGCAAAATAGCACTAGAGCTTCACAAACTGATTAGATTAGCACCCCAGCATGCTTGTATTAACAGTGCTGAGTGGTTGGGTCCCCACTGCATTACTTACGCTTGAGTGCGTGCAGTTCTTGACCTTCCATCTGCCCTCGCTGTCAGCCTGCTAGCTTGAGTTTAGAGTAAACCTTAGGTCAAGCTAGAAATTTCAACGGTTAGGGGAGACACCTCCAGCTGATCTTTGAAGAAAAGCTTTTAGTTTCCCAGGAAATAGGAAACAGTGGCTGCAAACAGCATGGAGTCAGATGAAAGGGGGGAGTATGTCTGGGAGTATGTCAGTCTTTCATGTCTCCAGGCATCCTGCAGGTTTGGAAATGGCAGAAGAGCTCACTTCCCACAGAGATTAGGGATATATCACCCAGGCAAATTTAGGAGCCTCTCTTGTCCTCAGATCCATGATGCAGAGTAACTGGGCATAGCCGAGGATGGAGGCAGAAACTGGAAGAGTCATCACTCTGTATGGCATCTCCTCTTCTCAGGACAGCAGGCTCTGTAGCACAGAATATACTGTCACTTAATGCCAAGAACATTACTTTGTGGCTTCCAGACATTGCTATGAGGAACCTCTGGGAAGCCAGTGGGCCTCTATCCAAGACAGGGACTGGAGTGTCGATATACTCCTGATTCTTGCCATTTAGATACCAAAGTGATGGGAGCATCAGATGAACAAAGCTCACGCTTAGGACAGAAGTCTTGGCTGTCCTGCTCTGTTTTGCTCCGCTCCCTAGGAACAGGGTCATGGCCTGGTGGCTTGTCAGAAGCTGTGACTCTCAAGGCTTTCTTTCCCCTTTTGAATTCCTTTGAACTTAAGTTTGACTCCTATATGAAGAAAAACTGTCAATGAAGTTTCACCAGCACTGGGCCCTTCATGCTCTACTACCCCTTACTTATTGTACAGAGCAAAATACAAGATACGATCACACAGACCAGTGCATGTCAGACTCTTGATCTTGTCTTTTCCAGTATCTAATCGCCATCCCATTGAAGATGTTCCGGTTTTGGATGTTTATTGTTATGCTCTCTCAGGTATGGGAAGACATTGACACTAAAATGAAGAATCTGCTGGCAGACCTAAATCTGTCAGAGCACTGCTCACAAAACTCTTGGTACTGTTATTTTAATGATATTTAACAAGTAAAGCACAAGGATTGTAGTTTTAAGCTAGCAATTAAAGCCATCAATTTTGACTTTCTGGCATGTATAAGACAGGCAAGACTGTAAATGATGGGTTTCAAAATGGACCGCTCCATGGCAATATAATTCTTGGTGGGTAGTGAAGAGCCTCCTTCATTCCTGTCACAAAAAATAAGCCATGCATCCAGACTCCTCCATTTGTAAATCCATCAAGAAAACGTATCCTCATTTTTGGGGAGTTTTGTGTACTGTCTACAATCACTAGAGAGGTGAGAAAAAATAAACCAGATCTTTGAGTCATTTATACCTGAACTTGTCAAATCTTTCTCAGCAAATGAGAACAGAGTCCAAAGGGTTTTGTAACTAGCCCTATGAGGATGGAGATCCCCCATCTAGATCACCCCCTCTGTGCTAAGCCTGCCACTAATTTGAAAGCTTTTGAGCATTGTTAGGGGGCAGATTTCCTCAGTGTAATGACCTAACACTGATGGTCTCTGAATGCAAAACACATTGCCTTCTCAAATCCTTTCCATCTAATCTCTTTCAGCCTTTAAAAATCATTTCAAAATCTTTCCATTCCTATGGTGCCTGTAAGTTTGGCAACTCTTGGCTCTGCATATATGACCCTTTCTTTCTCTTTCTGTGCTAGCCTACTAAGATTTTAGCAGGTGGTCCCATTAATGGGGTTTTTAATTGTTTTATTATGAAGCGCAAAGGCCCAGAGCCCTTTGGCAAGGGCACCCCTAGAAATAAATTGAGTCATCATCCTTATAATAGAAAAACAAATTCAGTATGGATCTGCCCTCTAGTTAAGGGCACACGTATCCCTTAGAGAATGGTCACTGTTTTCCTTGCTGAAATGGCTTTTTGGTGGCAGCTACGGTAATATCCTCATGTGGATCAGCCTGGTCCTGGGGCCCCCTCTCACGGTGCTGCTGTACTTCCATGACTATTACATCCTTCACCACCGGAAGGACTCAACTTGGAGGCTGTTTTTCTTCTGACCTGCCCAGAACCTTGTTGCCCTGTACGTTCTGTCTTCCTTTCTACGCAGCAGGTGTAACAAAACATACCTTGAGATACAACCCCAAGTTTGAAGTACCCTCATCTTTAATATGGAAGGATCTACCTAGGATGTAAAACTCTATCCGGCTGCAGAGCTAAAGACAGAGAATTGCAGGCTGGCCACTATCCATATTGAAGGTTAATGAGCAGAGCAGAGTTGTGAGAGCTACAGGAATCCTTGCCTTTAGTCACCTCTCGTGTAAAAGTTTTTCTCTGCACAAGGTTCCTGGGCAATTGAGAAACAGCTCTTCCACTGAAAATTCTGCTGAATATAAATACAAGCTGTAAAAATTACTTCTTCCTATTAAAATATTGCTGTTTGTTACAACATCTCACCTGAAAAACTGATTTTAAAAAGCAGTTAAACAAATACAGTTTTCTCCCCCCACTGATTTAAATGGTAAAATTGGGTTAATGAGGAGATAATGTCAATAGAACAGAAGGCTATTGCAAGAGAACACTCTCCCACTGTTTGAAAAATACTAAGGTGAAGCAAAGACATTTCTGCTCCCAATAGGAAATTCTGAGGTTTATTAACATTTCTCCTTTCCTTTTATTCCAAGTGACCACTTTCTAGCAGGTATAATCATTTGGGCTGGTTCTGCCACCCTCACAGATGTTGAATATTTCCTCTAGTCCCTAAGCAGCCCCATTAAAACCAGCAGCACTGCTGGCAGAATACCATCGAATAGTGTAATTGAGGGTGGCAGAATTGGGGCTCTAATCAGCAGTAGGACAGTGGCTGTGGCTAATGAATGCCCAGCTGCCTCCTGCCTGCCAGCTCATCTCCCGAGGACGTGTGCCTCACCCTTCCCATGCAGAAGGACAGCGAGGCCACGGCTCAGTGGTGGGAAGTTACAGCAGCAATAACAATGCCTCTGAAGCCCTTGAGCCACAGTGTCACTGGATGCCCTGTATTGTCAAACTGTGGCTTCAGACCACCTATATCGAGCCCTGTGGGCCTGTGCTGCCTCGGCTCAGGGAAACAAGCAGCATTTGCAGGAACTAGGGTGTGGCAGCTGACTGCAGTGCAAGAAAGGTCCCTTCTCAGAAGCACATGAAGTGTGTGCTTGAGCACATCCTGAACAAGGCACAGCTATTTTACCATCTCCTTGCCTCATCCAGCGCTCCCCACATCCACCAGCGCAGCTGACTCCAGCTTCTGGCAACTGTCTTAATATTGGCACGCAAGTTGACTATGAGAAGGGTTGAGCCCTTACATTACAACAATGAGATTTGCTCTGGCTGGGAGTCCCCAAGGGAAGGGACTGCCTGTTTTCCATGTGTTTGCATGGCTCCTCACTCCTGGCTGATGCTTTTTAGACATATTGCAAAAACACGCAACAGGAACAGTGCAGTTAGGGCTGAGCTTGTCCACCCCACCTAAATTTAATAGCATCTTCAACCTAAATGTACCTTTGGCAGACTGGAGAGGGATGCAGACAAGTGCCCGAGGTGACTCAGGTCCCACGGGTGGACTTACCCCGGGGGGCTGCCTATCTCTTTGAGGACACCAGGATGATCAGGCTGCTAGCCTGGATGCCTCGGTTCAGTACTCTGAGTTAAATGGGATGAAGCCAACTTGAATGATGTGCCTGAATGAGGCACGCAGTAAGCCGTGAGTGTTGTAAGCACCAGTTCTGGATTGTTTAATTTGGCCATGCCAGCAATGACTGCTGTAATTACTGCCTCTGGAGACGAGCAGGACTGAGAGTGCCAACAGCCATGTAGATGCAATGCTGCCCACAGCTGCCTTTATCTCCTTGAATAAGCGCTGTAAATTAGGAGATGATCACTTCATGTCCTGCATACACTGCCTCAGCGGCCGGCTGGCCAGAGCTGGAATCCCTTGCAGCATCTCCGAGCAGGCAAGCACCCAAGGGTGGCCCAGTACCAACAACTCCAGCACCAGCCTCTGCTGTCTCACTGTTCTCATCACACATCGGCCCAAGCGAAGCAAGGTAGACCAAGAGACAAGCAGTGCATCTCACTGTGGGGGCCAAATTCAGTGTGACTTTGAGAAGTGCTGAGCTCCGGCATGACTGAGACTGGCTAGGGTGGGGAAAGACCAGTTCAGTACATCTTTCAAAGTCAGTAAAGTCTCTGGCGCAACTCTACAGGCAGCAGGGCTGAGCATGTCCCAGAGAGGACTTTGTGGATGGTACAAAATGTGAAGGAGCTCTTTCACCTGACGTGCTGGCTTGAGCTCAGCCCTTAGGCTGGTTCGGGGTGGGGGGAGGGGAGTCTAGCAGGTCTGTCACCAGCCTTCTCAGGCGATGCTTTCAGCAAAACCCGCAACGGTTAGAGGTTGGCTATATGCTTCAGTATTACACGAACAAGATCCTTGAACAAATACAGTCAAAAGCTTCTGAAACATTGCAGCCTCTAATAATGTGGCTCACCCTTGCTGGTGATGGATCTGCGGTCTGTTGGATGAGCTAGCCATACACAGTCTCATCTGTGCTGAACAGATAACACTGAAGGGTTGCAGCTTTAGGCTTGGACACTGCCTGCGAAAGGGTGGCTGATACTTGATCTGGCATAAAGCCTCCCAATGAAACATTAACCCACCAACATGCCTAAGCAAATCTGAGCCAGCAGAGTGAGTTTATACTGGATCAGCTCTTTTCACCATTGTTATAATGTTGAACCAAGGCCTCATTATACATCTCCTCATCTGCCTTCTATTTCTTTTACCTTCTGTCTCTTTTTTTTTTTTTTTTTTGCTACCCCCTGTTCTCGTTGGGAGAAGAGGATAAGAGGATATCATAGAGGACAGGATTGGAAGGGATCTTAAGGTTCCAGTGGCTCCAGGGTCCTTCAAAAGGTATTGAGCCAATGCACAAAATGTCTCATGGGCCTCTCTGTGCCCTCACCATCATCAGGCTGCTCCCTGCAAACTCCATAAAGGCCAAGTAGCTCCACTGAGCTGCTGCAGCCTGTGCACCTTAGCTTCATGCATCATTGCATGAGGAACAGTGCCCTGCCAAGGCTGTTGCAGGCAGGGATAAGGAAGCAAAGTTGCCACCCAGAGATGTTTTCAAACCATGGAGCTGGCTAAACAAGCTGTGTAGCAGACCTCCTGAGCAGCAGCTGTCCTTGCCTAGGGTCGTGCATTACTTGCCACACAGTCCCAGCTCACCACCTCTGAGGAAGGCACAAACCATTGTCTCTAGGTGTTAGATGTGTTCCTCATGTGTTCTATACTTATAGAAACATGTCAATCAAGAGGAGTATGGTGGGGAGCTCATTCTGCCTTGTGTCCTGCTACGTGACCTGCCCATACCATGCATGCCTTCTCCATGGGAGCCTCCATTGCAGCCACTGCCTTCAGCACAGAACCAAAACCATCCATCATGGCACTAAAAATCTTAAGGGATTACTCATAAAGGGTTCACATTTTTTGCCTTAGAGACAGAAGTTTGAAAGCAGCAGTAGCTAAAAGTTGTTTTCCCATACAGTTCTTCGGTAATCCCTATGGAAACTGCAGGAGAAAGGTACATCCAGCCACGCATGATTTTTGGTCTTTGCTTCTTAACCAAATAGGCTTTAAACCAGGAGGCTGCCAGGAAAATTGAAACCTTCTGAAAGTCACCGAGTGACACGTACGCACCCACCACATACCCACCGGAAGACAAAGTGCATCATTCCTGCAGGGCACCCAGCTGGAAGGGGTTGGTGCCAATCTACAGGCTTCCCTGCCAACCTGAGAATAAGGGCCTCAGTGCTAAGGCCAGTGGTGAGGAGAAACACAGAATGCTGAGGAGATGTTTTAAGAGGCAGGGCACAGCCTTGTCACTGCACAATGGGAAACCAGGTTCAGAGAAGGAAGTTGGAATCATTTCTCAGACATCTCCCTATGTTCTGATAATGCAAACTTTAATCAAAGTACTGATAGTGTGGTAACTATGACACAGCCTTTGTTTTCCTAGGTGGAAAACTCAGTGGACATGTGTCTGAAGCTGCTAAGGCTGTGTTACGTGGACCGGTTTGGCTGTGGTCAATAGATTTTTATCAGATGCTTTTACTTGTTACATTTTTCTTGGCACTAGGAACAATCTAGCAAAGAATAAAAATGATGGAGCATCAGGAGACATGCAGGCTAGGAGAGCACTTGTCTGGCTGGATCCGCACAGCCCTTCCCTCCTGCACAAGGAAGGCTTTGTGCAGGCTCGTGAAAATCAACGTGTTCAGCTCTGCGTGTGCAGAGCCAGAGGCAGGCTTTGGGCTTTGTCTCTGTGCAGGATCAGGCTGGCTTCTTTAACCATGGGGCTGAAACCTTGTTAGTTCACAGGCTGTGGCCAGGCTGCCAGCGGGCCAAGGTTCATTGCAAGAGAGTTGCCCATCTCCCAGCAGCAGCAACAAGGAGGCGGCTGGTCCTTGGGGTGAAGGACGATGCTCGAGCAGGCCAAGGCAAGGGTCTAGTGCTGCCCATGGGGACTGCTGCATGGGTACTGGTATCCCCAGCCTGGCCAACGTGGTGGACCCTAGACGAGCACCATGCGGGCTGTGCTTCCAGAGGGACTGATCTTGGTTCTACCAGCACCCTGCAGTGGTCTCAGGCCGGTTGGCTTTGATCCTTGTGGATCCAGATAATGGCAAATAACTCAAGTCACACTCAGTGAGTCAGGAGAGGGCACCAATGGGTCAGTGGAGCGGCTGCCAAGCACTTTAGGCTCAGGCGGTGTCAAGTGCCGGGTACAAGCGTGATCTTTGGAAATACTCTTGCAGTGGCATCGGCATCATGCTGGAATAGCCCTGCTGGTGCCTGAGGATCAGACCCGGAGCAGCACCCCTCTCAGGGAATGCAGGGCGAAATCCACTTCTTAAAAATATTTTTCTCATTTCTTGCAGATCAAGTGGTCCCTTTTGGCACAAATGGGCTGCAAATGGGCCTGTGGATCATCAGCTGCCTCCCAGCTGATTTCCAAGGCATTTCAAACACAACATCACAAGAGCCAGGGATAATACACACGAAAGGCCCTTATCAGCAGGGCAGATAAGCACTAACAGAGAGGAGAACGCTGAATTTCTTACATGCAGGACCAGCTATATCCAGGGAGAGGAAAACAACCATCCTCTTTGTAAGGTTTCCCTGGGTGCTTCTGTCCTAAGCAGAACACAGCATAGACCCTGCCTCCAGCTAATTCTGTGTACAAGAAACATGTATTCAAAGGCTGGGAGGAAATCAGTTCAGATGACACTGCCTCCATCTATGTGAAGTTTAAACAAGTTCTTGGACCTCCATTTTCCTCCATGCATGTTGTGTAGCCTTCTCCCAGCATCACTTTCCTTCTGTTTGGCCATGCTTGTCCTCAATATCGCAGCGTGCATCCAAGGCACTGGCCTGGGTGTGCATACCCACAGCCACCATATGCCTTGCTAGGGAGAAAAGATGCCCATGGATAACCTGCACTCTGGGAGCCCCCCGCTGTGGGGAGGGCTCTTGCTGGCTGCTCCAGAGCCACCTTTGCAAGGAGGACATGCCCCATTCCTTTGGCCAGCCCTGACCACGTTTTTTCCTGGACCCAGCACCTTTGCTTTCTTGCCTCCCCCGGCTTCTCCTTCCCAAGCTCCTTTCATCAGGGGGCCCATGGTCATTAATTAATGCATACTAGCACTACTGTCATTTCTCTTCCTTGATGGTTTTATCTTCCTCAACAGAAAGGAGGAGCTTGCATGTCCCTCACACCTCCCCACCTTCTCTATACCGCTCTCCAAAGCTGTGTCTGGCCTCTCGTGAGCTAGGAAGGGATTTCCCATTCCCCACTGGCATGCTGCCTGCCACCCTTGGCTTGCTTGCAGGAGTGGCCAGCCGCTGGCTGCTGTAGCCTGGCTGTGCCCCTACACCAGGTCCTGCTGCCCTGCAGGTTCCCTAACCTCCCTCAGGGTTTCAGGGTCCCTCAGAAGCCCCCTTCCACAGCACCAGGGCTCCCTCTTGCTCTCACTGCCCTTGCCTCTCCCTGCAGGCCGGAGCAGTGTGCCCAGAGACCCTGGCACGCGGCCATGCTGCGAGGAAGCTCCCAGGCAGGCTGAGCTGTCCTTGGGAGAGACCACCCCACTGCACCCCTGGGGCAGGAGCTGGGTATCAAAGATCATTTTTGTGCACACATACATGCACCATGAGAGTCTCTGCCAGGTGCCTTCTCAGGGCACTTGCACCCCAGGGAGATCCTCCTTGCACATGGGCAGTGATCCCAGCATCTGACCCCTCTTCTCCCAGCATCATCATGTCTTCTCCCACTGCAGCAGCCTTTCGGGAACCTCTCTCTCTGAACAGGGACTTGCAAGCTGGCCTGGCCCCACAATGGGAGCTGCCGTTCACCACCACTGCACGGCCTCCCAGCGGCCGGCCGCCTGGGACCCTGG